ACGACGGCTAATAAGTCAGAAATGGCCATTCCAATCTCCCTTGTCTTTGCCGGCCATATAATATGCCTATACTGCCGGCTGCCATGCTTGTCAGGGCATCTGTCGAGGCCTAAGTCAGAGTGGGACAGATGGGTTTTGTTAGCAGTCGGATGAACTTTAATCAGCTAGAGTCATCATATTTCTTGAAAAGAAGATACTGTGCAAAACGAGATTAAGGTTGCACATTACCATTCGGAGTTCAAGACGCACAAGCTAATTTCATCTTTATCAGAGCGACCTACTTGGTCCTTCTCAAAGTCCCACCCTCTTCTATCTCCGGTCTTCTTGACTCTGTCTTGAAACCGGGCCCAGGTGGGAGAGTGAAACAGCGTGAGATAGATGCACACAAGCTTTCTCTCACTATAATTCGTCACTTTCCCTGCACCAATCTGCTATGGAGCACACGGTGGACCTTGTTGAAGCCGACTGTCAAATTTTCCAAGGCTGCTGCCCAGAAGTCGATAAACGAAGGACCACACAACCATTTACAATTGAGCAAATGCTCTCAACGTCCAGAAGTGTGCTGTTTTCTTGAAACATTTTAATCGGTATTGGTTAATTTCGCTTTCCTGTCTTCAGTATCAAAGACTTCAATTTTATCCGTTCCTCTGTATCATAAAGCAGGCCAGTCATTTAAAGTAATTAGTTCACTTTCTATCATCTCAGATTTCGGTGCCTCAGAACAGGAGCATATTTATGGCACACTTTGGCAATCGGTGCACTAGTCAAAAAATACTGAGATCTCAGCGGACCATGTTCATTCTGTCAGTGTTTAATTTTTTTCAGAAAAATCTAACTAATTGTACTAATTAGTACTAATTGTACTAATTGTCCGAGCAGACTTATACTTCGCGTTCCGGCATTGTTCAAAATGGGCTGGACTGAAGTCTTTTCTTGTCGGACTGAGCCAATCGTCTGATTGTGGAGTGATAACATCTGTGAAACGAACTTCATTGGTTGAACATATGCTTCTGATCGGCAGACGAAAGAAAGTATCCAAATGGGCTAATGTAGTCAGTGCTCCTAGAGGGACTGTTTCTGCCGGTCCAAAATATTGAGCACAGCTCTTGCCCTCACTTTGAAAGTAGATCATATGTTATGGCAAATATTTCCTACTAAATTCATATTTTCATATGCAGGGTTGGAGACACTACGGGCTCATGGTATTAAATTGTGAGTAAAGAACTTGATTGCTTAAAAACGAAAAAAAAACTATTTAATTTGTAAGGGTTTCTGACTAATCTTGGTCAAAAGGAGAACTCAAGGGCAGGATGAATCGTTAAAATTTACAATATGTGTCCGGGCACCCTAGATCTACCAGGTTCGTCAGACTTACTTATATACATTCTCTCCCTCCCCGCCCCCCATTGGCGGGGCACTAGGGTAGGAACCGGCATAGGTAATACAAGTGCCCTGAGGCTAAGTTCCAGGAAGAATAAGGATTATCCTGTCCTAGATCTAACCCGAACCATTAACGTGCTCCGAGTATTAGCCCTACGTTAACTCTAATTGTAAACTTCACGCTAGCCCTACTCCTAATTTTCCGGGAATTCAGCGCAAAGCCGCTCGTATTACTAGCAGTTCCTGTGTAGGAAT